AAAAATGTGTCTTCTGTCAGCACGACGAGTCTATTAAACACTTAATTTTTGAGTGTAAGTTTGCTCGGTCTGTGTGGTCTGTTGCTCAAATAGCCTCAAATCTTTACCCAGCACGTACTGCGCTGAATATATTCGGCAATTAGTTGAGGGGTATTCAAAAACAATTTTCTGCACACATTCTAGTGGGGGTTGTTGCCTTATGTCAGGCATTGTGTCTTACCAGGAATGATGTAGTGTTTAATAATAAAAGTGTTTCATCTCCTATGCAGGTTATCCATGCATGCTCGCGATGGCTCCATACTTGGTCTATCTTGCAGAGACCGGAGGACAGGAACCTTTTTATGATGGTGTCTACACGGCTGGAGCGTACGGCCAGGGAGGTTTTTTACCCCCATGGATGGCGGTGTGATCTTCGGATAAGATCTGTCACGTTCTAGATTGGCTTATGTTTTTTCCTTAGCTACTTTTTTGCTTTTTCGGACTTGTGGACTTGTTGGCTGTGTGCATCTGGTTATGCAGAGGCCGGGCTTTCTTACGATGCGATTGTATCACCTCGATATTTCAATTCAATGAAATGCCCTTTATCAAAAAATATATACACTCTACCTTAAAACATGTGAGGTACCCTGTTGTCCAACCATCCGCGGTTATAGTGAGCTCCAGCTGGGGGCAACTATCTTAAAATCAAAACTACTGGGTTTAGGGTTTCACAGAAACACAGCCGAAGAGAATTTTATAATGGAACTCCAACTATCTTGTGAATTACTAGGACATTTGAGAGTGTTTCTGACACCTCGGATCCACCAACCAAGCAACTACTCATGGTAGGGAGGCGGTTTGCTCCGATTTATTTTCCCCTCGGACCGGTCCTAGATCGAAATCAAAGCGAGCTAACAAGAGGAGGCGTAAGCTTCATCCTCAGCTTAATAAAACCTGTATCACTTTAATTCCAAAGAAAGAAAATGCTAAAATTCCTCAAGATTTCAGGCCCATTAGTCTTTGTAATGTAGTTTATAAAATTATCACCAAAACTTTGGCCAATAGACTCAAAGATCTTCTACCTGATTATATCCATGAGTCTCAGCAAGCTTTCATACAAGGCAGGAGGGTTACTAATAATATTGTTATTGCTCAAGAAATCACTCACTCCTTTCTGCTTAAATCCTGGAAGCACAAAGCCTTTATGCTTAAAATAGATTTGGCCAAAGCTTTTGACAGAATTGAATGGTGCTTTATCAGAAGGGCATTGTTCCGAAAAGGGCTGCATTGTCATTTCATAGATTTAATCATGGAATGTATCTCCTCTGCCACCTTTTCTGTTAACATTAATGGGCAACCGTTTGGCAGTTTTAAGGGATCCCAAGGCATTCGACAAGGTTGTCCCCTGTCACCGTATCTTTTTATTCTTGCAGTCAATGAATTGTCGCTTTCAATGCAGGAGGCTTTAAATGCCAATCATTTCAGCAGTATCCAATTAGGCCCAGGTTGCCCCCCTATCCACTCTCTCATGTTTGCGGACGACCTGATTGTCTGTGGCAGAGCAGATAATAATGATGCCAATACGACTGCTTTTATTATTAATCAGTTTTGTGCTGTTTCTGGTCAAACTCCTAATTGGAATAAATCTGCCATACTTTTTAGTAAAAATACTGATGATAATTTGAGGAACCAAATTAAGAATATCTTTCCTGCTCCTAATATGGATTGTAATACTACTCATCTTGGCCATCCTCTTATTTTACCTGGTAAAAATAGACCTGCAGCTTATAATTTTATTATTGATAAGTTTAGAGCTAAACTTAATTGCTATAAGGCTAACAGGTTGTCTCATGCAGGAAGACTCACTCTTATTAAATCTGTTTTTGCTTCCCTTCCTGTGTATTACATGTCTAATATCCTTTTAAGTAAATCCCCCATTAATAAACTCACTTCCATAATTAGAAAATTCTGGTGGACAGGTATTGATAAGGATAATGCTTCCAAACCTATCTGCTTTAGGGCTTGGGATGATATTTGCAAACCTATGCATCAAGGTGGTCTAGGCATTAGAGATCTTTATATGATGAATAAGTCTATGGTTGCTATGATGGCTTGGAGAGTTATTAAGAGTCCTAATTCTCTTGTTATGAAAGTTCTCAAAGCCAAATATTTTCATAACTCTTCAATTTGGAAAGTGAATGGCAATGTTCCTAAATCTGCTTTCTGGTCCTCTATTCTCAAAGTTCTTCCTTTCATTAGCAAGGCTAGTCATACTCAAATTGCTAATGGTAATACTTGTATTTGGACTAGTCCTTGGTGCAATGATTGGGACAATATTTATGATCACCTTAAACCTAATCTAGGTATCCCTTGTCCTAAAGTTGTTAGTGATCTTTGGAAACCAAATTGTAAGAGTTGGGATGAGGATAAAATTAATATCTTTTTCGATGATAATTTCAAGAGAAATATTTTACAAACTCCTATCATTAATGCTAATATGGACGATACTTTATGTTGGATTCATACCCCTAATGCGGAGTGTACCACTAAAAGTGCTTATAAAGCTTTGATGCAGGAGGCCCAACCCAAGTTACAATCTCAAAGTCACACTATTTTAGATTCTGAAATTTCTATTCTCAATCAGGTTTGGAAAAGCAAAAACCTGGCTCCAAGAGTCAAAACCTTTGCATGGAGAATTCTAAGAAGAGCTTTAGCTTCAGGGCTTAGGGGATCCAGGTATTCTACTCACATTAAAAAGGAATGTTGCAGGTGCGGCGAGACGGAGACAGACTTGCATCTTTTCTTTACTTGCAATTTCACTAGAGCTATTTGGTTCCTATTTGGTCTTAAGTCTGATGAGTTCAATCATAACTTATATCCTTCTGATGTGATTCAAAGGATTTTATCTTCTCATCATGCTGACTTAGATCTGGATACCAGTTTCACGTTGCTTTGGAATATTTGGAAAGCGAGGAATGATCTTCTTTTTAATAAGAAAAAATGGAGTATTATGCAGGTTATATATGCTACAAACGCTATGCTAAATGCGGAGCTAATGGAGGAGAAGGCGGCGGCTCACATCAACCCTGCAAACAATAATATTTCTCCTTTTCACGTTCAAAATATACAGTTCCAAAATGCAGGTCTTTTGGCGTACAGTGATGCTGCGTACAATCCGGAAATTGCAAAAGAAGAAGCTGGTCTTGGAGTTCTTCTTAGAAATGTTAGTAACAACCATACTGTATTTGTTCAAGCTGCTGCAAAAAATGTTTGCTCTGTTTTGCAGGCTGAAGCTATTGGATTATCACTGTCGGCTGAGGTGGTTAAAGCTCTAGGATGGAATACTGCTATTTTCTTATCTGATTGTAGGAATCTTGTCCAGGTGGCTAAAGCAAGAAACCTTTTAGAGAGTTCAGGAGATTGGAGGATAAGACCTATGCTTGCTGAATTTCTTAATCACACTTCTTTTCTTTCATCATGTGAAGTCAGGTCTATACCTAGGAATGGGAATGTCATTGCTCATTCCCTAGCTAAGAAAGCTTTTATGCAAAGAGCTGTCTCTAGTTCTTCAATCTTATGCAGCAAATCTTCTGGATGTAAAGCTCAACAAGCTTTAAACTCTATCTCCTTTCCTTTTGGAAAGTTTATCTCTGTACACTGTTTGGGTTGCAAATAAATAAAATCAAGGGCACTCTTTGAGGGCCAAAAAAAAAAGAGGAGGCGTGAGAGTGATTAGGTCGCATTGTTTTGACCACTAACCCGGACCCACACATTTGTCTCCCTCACTCAAGAGTGTGCTCAACTAGAAATGAGTGTGCTCAACTAGAAATAGAGAAAAGGTAGGAGCGTATTCGCAAAAAAAAAAAAAAAGATAGGAGCGGAGCGGAAGCTAGAAATGTTGGTGGATTAACAAGTTGGTCGGCTTATTAAGATTGGTAAGCTTAGCGAGCAGAAAAACGGCTTTGTTCATTTGGAGCATGATAAGCTCATGATCGTTCGTTAGCAGAAATTACTCCCTTTTGCTTCGGCTACAAAGTGTTGCAGCCTACAGGACGAGAGTGCGGTTGTGATTTTTATTAAGGAGACCGTGACCACTTCTTTCAGCTAGATTCATAGAATTTCCTTGTTTATAATAATAGATTTTGCTCCTAGCACTCCCATGCACCCACGATACGGAGCTCCTGGGCCGTTAGAATCATGAATTGAACGATGAGCGTCGCAGCCTATGGACCGAAATTTCAGACCTCTTCGAAGGGTTTTCTCAATTTTACGCAAGCTCCCCTGCGCTCGTTGGATTCCAAAAGCTCCCGTGTCAAGGGAGCATGGGGCGTGGAAGCACCTGATATTTTCCCATCCTGAATAGTTTCAAAGAGAGTGACTTTCACGCTCTCACGGTTGCAATGCAAAAAGGAGCAATTTGTTAGTGCCACTGGGTTTCTGCCGCCTCTAGTCTTGATCCTTGATGCCACTGACCTATGCAATAGCAAATATCTTCATTACTATATGAACAAATTGGCCGGTGAATACTTGGCCGAAGGAAGAGCACGCTATGAAATATTCCATGACCCTGGACATTTCCGAAAAGACAAGCCAACTTTATTAGATACTCCAGTTCTCTTGTCGTGATCCTTTCACAATTATGCTCTCATCCTTTCCACAACAAAAGCACGATTAAATTTGCCACAAATTACCTCCATTTCCAACACATACCATGGCGAACTGTAATAACGAGTTTCAAAATGTACCAAAATTCAGGTCCCGAGTTTATTGAAAAAGCTACACATCACGCCACGTCCATTTTCATGGCCACAGGCAATACTTCCATTCCATGGGAGTTACAAGGGCTTCCCATTTTCCACTCTTGCATTGTCCTCAAACTACATCGTACCATCTTTGCTCCGTGCTCAGCACTTATTCTAACCATGAGAGTGTTCAAAATTTGTCTGGTTGTGCTACTCCTAAATGAATGAGATACCAAAGATACACCATAGAAAAGTTACAGAATTTATCAACAAATAGTATCAGCCAATCTGTATGGACGACACAGCGGTTGACACCTCCTCTGTTCTTGGATCGCCAGCTTCCAGTGAAACACCCCGAGAGTCTTCTCGAACAAGTAGTGGGAGGACACCGACCGAGCTCCAAGCATTTGCTACAGCACCACTTGCTTCACCTAAGGTCAGTGAGAAAACTGCGTCAAAGCCACCGGCTCCAGGAACACCAGCTAGTAGAACACCTTCCATATTCATAGTGGCATCCAGAAGTTGCGTTTGTGACTCCGGCTCAATCTGCAAATTAAGGACGTTAAAACACAGAAAAGCTGTACAATAAACTGTGACTACTATCTACAGTTCCATGACTATGACTATGTAAGCCATGAAGGCATAACTATGGCATCAAGACATTTAGTCAACTTCTTTGAAAACACTATACTACAAGTCTACAACAATCATAATTTCATCCATCGAGCCTTACTGGAACACCGGCTGCCACACCCATCTCTCGCATATGAAGCCTTATTTCAAGGAAAGCATCTCTCGCAGCCAATAATGATTTGACAACCAATTCTTGCTGCTGATTAGTAGCCACCTCTGTCCACTGAAGAGAACAAAGAAAAAACATTTTAGAGCAGTAAAGATTGTTTTCCTCTTCCTGCAGATGCACGTGATGACAAATTGATGACTAAGAATTAGTAGCATAAAATAGGTAAATCTAAAGACTACGCGGTCATCATGTATGCCAAAAAATCTGGATGGTGCAATCTCCATTCCATAAGCGGGAAATAAATGCATTTTCTCGATTGACATTTGTTTGCAAAATTCATATGATCTTTGCTTATTCTGTAGCATGACCCTTGCTCTGGTCTATCAACTTAGTCTACAATGATCCAGCTTATATTAATACAATTAATGAGAAGTTACTAAGGTTACCTTCGTGAATGTGAGACGACTACAGGACCGCACTACAGATTCATAGGCATCCCAATGATCTTCAGAAAGTTTGCTTAAGCTTCTCAATTGGTTTTCCAGCACTGAATTAGCCATTCCCAACTTGCTCCATGTATCTGCGGCTTTCTGAGGATCAGACTTCTGCCACTGTTTCACAGATCCAACCATTGATGGAGTAGATGATCCTCCAGTTCCAGGTTCACCCAGAAGCTAACAACAACAAACACTCTATGTTAAAATTCCAAACTCAACCTTACTGAAACAAATCCCCATTAATCGACAAATAAACATAATATCAAATAATATTATCATACTACAAAAAAGAAATCAGGTAAGTTCTTTGGTTAAAGAATCTTACAAAATGACATTCCCAGACTTAAGAATAACTTTTTTATCACCTTCATAGCTCATGAGGGTAAAACAAAAAATCAAGGCAAATAAACTTAACAAATACGATGATAAAGAATATTTTATATCTGCAAGGTGCTCAGAATATTAGCATATTCATTGCTTACAAAGAAGGGAGACAAGCATGACTTGTGGTGTCCATGCTTACAACAGTACTATTCTACCAGTTTCAGCCATGGAAATCAAAGGTTAACAAGCATCATAGCGGTGCAACTAACTACTAATCAGACTACATATCCTATACTGTCAGCAGCAGGCCAGTAATTATGACGAGAGGTGACAACCAGTAAAATGGTATAATAACAAGTAGGAAAACCTCATCATCAATCATCCAACTTACAAGGCACATCAGAGGAGGCAAAGAAAATTGGGTCTTCTCATGATCCCACCTCCGTGTAACAATATCTGCTACTACATCTGGCAAGCAACTCCCGCCTATAACCTGTAAATATTTTTTAAGATTACTACTAACGAAGTCGCTGGGATAGACAAATGTTGGGCACTTGCTGGGATAGATAACTATCCGGGACTTCTTACCTGGGCTGAGGAGAGGATTTCAGGAGAGAACCTTGTGTAGCGGTGACTCCCATAGACAGCGGCACTAACATCAAAGCCACTGCCAATTTTCCCTTGTGCTATACAGTGTGCACTTTGAGCAATAGCATGCACAAAGTCAAAATCTCGTCCAGTTGCAGTGACACTGGATGATTGATCTGAACACGAAAGGTTAACAGCTCCAAGGTAATGAAGAAGAGCAGCGACAACTGATGCAGTCATGGCAGCTGATGATCCAAGTCCAGTTTTTGCCACTTCAGGTTTGCATATTTCTCCAGTTCCATTAGCAACTTCTGAGTTAAACGTAATTGAGCAAAATGGAGGCAATGAAAGCAATACCTCTGGCGTTAGAGGCAGACCACGTGCTTCAATCTGAAGAAAGAGTGAAATCCACTGCTAATTATCTACCAGTGAGAATGCGTTTGAGGAAAACTATGGTTGTATCATTGTATGACATACATAGGTAAAAAGTGGGACCAATATAATTAATAATGTACATTTAGTGTGTAAAAGAATGGCATACATAAAGAAATGAAAGGAAGTAACAACTCCTGAATGCTTTGCAGTGGGTTCCTACTTCACATGTGCATCGAATCTTAACACTTACACATAAAGAAATAAATGGAGAATGAAACGAAACCAGTGGTAATTTTTGCACATCACGAGCTGTTGAAGTGAATAATAAAAACACGACATCTAGAAAGGGAGAAAGAATGCAAGAATTTATACACATCCTATGTCACACTCACATGTGAGCATGTCCTGCGTCTGTTTGAAGTTCACAAGTAATTTCCTCTTTTAAGAATCACATTTTCAGATTGTAAACTTATAGGCAATACCTGATGTATAACCAATTCTACACAATTCATTACATATACTGATATGTGAAGTGTAACCGCCTGTGACTGAAACAATAATTTGGTCATAGAAGCTAAGACCATCATTCAATTTTGATTATCTTAGAACATACTCAATTTACTCAAATCCGTTTAGAGATCTTAGATTTGGCCCTGACACCGCGCTACTTTTTCATTTCAATGTGGGGATGCGATGTTCAAGATAAGATTAGGAGATCCAAAAGGAAAGGAACAAAGACAATGTAAATCAAATCTCTTGTTTTTATTTTATTTTTCAGGTTCAATTGTAATTCAAATAGGAAGCATTACCTGCTTCCTGTATGAATAGAAATCATTGGAACCCAGAATTGTGATGTTCAAACCTGCACAAATAAAGCTCAAAGAATCAACAACGAAATACTACTACAGTATACAACAGATACAAAATCAACGTTGTGCTTTAGAGTGGAGCAGGTAACTAATGGGAAGTTGCATGACCTCGCAACAGCAGCTTATCTAGTGCATCTTTCTTCTCCTTGTCAGTAATAGACACTTTGGCAGCGGCTACGGAGAACTGTATCGCCTGCTCCACAAAAGGATTTGTAGACTCCCTGCAACATTAGCACAAATCAATAACAGCACACTGCTGCAAACAACTGAACTCCAACAACACTATGACAAATCAAGAGTGCTATGCAGGGCTTTGGTCCGAGCGAATGATCCACAACTCGCCTTGCGGACGTCAATTGGAGCGTCGAATTCTTGATGGATAGCTTGTAGGCGGCCTCCCGGGAGAGCTGAGGGGAGGTCACCTTCACATCCGCCCACGCCTGATACAGCACAAGGGTACAGGATAAGCGGTGATCTGGTGGTACGGAAACCGGAGGACCGGGCAGAGCTCGGCCTCACCCATGCCCAGGAGTCGGGGCTGAGCTCGTCGTGGATCGGGCGGACGATGGCGTAGAAGCGGGCGGTGGTGCTGAGGACGAGGCCGGGGTTGGGGCGCTCCAGCACCAGGTACCCTCCCGCCACGAGCACCTTCCCCGGCGCCGACGCGACCCTGAAGACACACGACCGAGCGGGGTGAGCTGACCGGATCGGGGCCCGACTGCGGAGGCAGGCACGCAGAGAGGCAGATGCAGAGCCGAGCAGGGTAGGCGAAATCTAGCAGTGTCCGACGACTCACACTTCCATGGGCTTCCCCTACTCGGCGACTGGAGTGGAGTGCGATGCGGCGGTCGTGCGGCACGGCGCGCAGGGCAGCACGTTTCTGCCTACGGCGGAGGAACCGAGGAGGAGCGGTGGCTGGTGGACGGGGAGTCGCCGCGCGGCGTTCTGCAGAGACTTTCGACGACGACGGCCGTGCGGAGTTGCAGTTGGCCCGGCACGTGCCTATCCAGACATGGCCAACGGGCCGGACGGCCCGGGCACAGCATGGCACGTCGAGGCCCGTATACATGTGGGCCGGCACGACACGCGTGCCGGCCTGCCTACGTGCTCTTCGGCCTTTTTGGGCTGTTTAAAAATAAAAGTTCAGGAAAAATAAAGAAATGAACAGGACCATGCCGGCACGCAGGCCTGCAACAAGCCTGGGGTCGTGCAAGGCCTGGCACGACCCATTTAGTCGTGTGACGTGGCGGGCATGCTGGCTTCTTGGCTGGCCCACGAAGCACGACCTGTTTGGCCAGCCCTGGCTCGATATTGTATTTTTTTTCTCTGAGATGGACTCGATCTCGTTGATGGGCGGGCTAGGAGGACACGAATATGGGCTGAGCCCAAACGGCTCCGGTTTTGAGCAGCCCCATGGAAACTCTCGATGGCATATGGGGCTTGAGGAGATATCCGTGATGAATGGTTCACTCGCCTCAAGGTCGCCCTAAATAAGTCGGCTCAACGTGGGAGGATCGCCTTCGTTGGGAACATTTTTCATTTTTATACATTTATTTATATTTCTCAAAATGAAACGTATTTAATTTAAGTTTTTTAAAACATTTATGGAAATGTTCATCCAATGTAAAAAGAGTGTTCGACAACTTTAAAAAGATGTTGACAGCATTCGAAAAATGTTTGTGACATCTAAAATGGTTTTTAAGAAAAATGTACGTGACATTTTGTAAAAGAAATATTTGTGTAATTCAAAAAAAATGTACAATACCATTAAAATGTATGTTTCATTTAAAAACATGTTCATGAGTTTCAAATATATGTTAGTAAAATTTCAAAACAAAATTATAGAATGTAAAAATGGTTACATACTTAAAAAAATGGCTTTGTATTATTCAAAGAAATGTTTCAACTATATTTAAAAAATTGCTTAACACAATTTCTAAAGAATGTTCGAAAATATGTGTTTGAAAAATGTTTAGCATGTAGTTGAAAAATGCGAAACATATATAAAAAAGGTCTTATATTTATACCAAAAGTATACAATGTGTATGAAAATGATAGACATCAAAACATATATTTGTCTTCCAGCTCAAGTTGCACATAGGCTTAAGATTTCTAGGCCTACTTTCCTTACTGATTGTCTCTCCTTGACAAGAGCGGCAGCGGAAAGAAGTGACTTAGCTTATTCTACCCTTTGGTCCATCAGGAAATATCTTGCTGAATTATTCTCTTTTACTAAAGATCTCCATGCACAGGTAGCTGACAACGTGGCTCATCAAGTTCTTAAAAGTTCTATAGAATCTGACATTAGTTGTTTTGCTTCAGCTCATAGAAACAGGTCTTGCCCTGTAGTTTCCCTCCTTTCCAACTTTAATTTTCAGGGTTATGTACTCCACGTTGTAAGATGTTATTAAGTTGAATGAAAATGTTGGCGCTTTGTGCGCCTTCCTCTATTAAAAAAGATATATTTGAGCAAATATTAATGACGTATCCGACAAATGTTAAATGTGTATAAAAAATCCTAATTTATACAAAAAATTACAATGTGTATGTAAAATCTTAACATGCGTTAAAAATCAAAAGAATAAAGAATAAAATAGAAGAAAACGGTGAAAACAGAAGAAAGGAACAAAGAAGACCGAAAAAAGGAAAAACAAAGAAAAACTGATGCAAACATTGGAAAACGGTAAGAAACCAGAGAAAGGGGAGCGGAGGGCAGGCTGCAGCTACCTGCAGCTACAGTACTTGGCTGACCGAGTAGCACCGCCCGAGAACAAGCCGGAGAACATGGATCTCTGCCACTAGTCTTAATCTCGTTTTAGAGGGGACGACATGGCGTCTAGAGATGAAAAACTCTGGAGTTGAAAACGAGAGTCCTCACCACAGTTTTTTTTTTAATATCACCACAGGACTTCCAAAACTAAAATGCAATCATGTTCTTTGGTGCCTGCAAAATGCTATAGACAGTATAACATATCTCTCGAGCACACATAACCGAAACGTTGCTGCCACCATTTCGTCCTCCCTACAAAAACCGCCATGGCATGTAGTAGCAGGCTATAGCTGACTACCCCTGACAAGAAAAATAAATAACAAATAACTAACCCCCGGAGTAGGTTGTTCCATATGGTTGCCTATCCTAAAAGAAAGGTGCATATAGTTACGATGCAGTTAGTTGGAGGAATCTTTGGCCGCTGCATGCAAACCCCAACCATAGCATAGCAAACCTCCCATCTGATGAACATGCCGGGTCAGATCACTAATAAACCGCAAACAAAATAATCTCCTCCCCCTTAAACAAAGCGCGGTTAATGGGCGTCGCAGGCGATCGATCGAGCTCTCCGGTTTCTTCCGGCAGGGACGCGTTATGGTCCATTATTTCCTCGATGATGCGTCCATCGATCGTCTCTGAGCTTTACGAACCGGACCTGACGACGAGAATTGCTTTATGATAGGCTCCATCAGCGACCCATCGCCATCTACATGAATGATAGACAGATCGATCAGCTACGCACTTCATCTAGTATGTTATCCATACGTGCTAGCTTAAGGAGGAACGGTTGCCAGAGGTTGTGGATTAATTGTACAAGTGGCTGTGGCCTCCGAGCTCCGACTACCTCTGCTTGCTTGCTTGCGGTGCACCATCACCTGACTGATCTTTTATTGCAGATAAATTGTTGTTCATGTGATGATTGGGGCTTCCCCGCCTAGTGGGGGGCTAGTGGAATAAAATATTTTGGTCAGGGCATGTGAGACAATGTGGGTTTGTTCCCCCATTGAATTATCACTAACAGATTGGTTCAGCGTCTCTTCATGTGTACGATTGAGGTCTGGCTCCTTTTAATCAGAATCTGAAAATGCTGAATTCAGTTAACCCAGTCTTGTTGGCAAAGAGTGTTTCAGTCCATGGCCGGTTGTTAACCGAGGCCGGCATTTCAATATGCAGAGATTGAGTGCCAGCTCGGAGATGCTGATCGGCAGGTATAGAACACTGTACTTACAAACATGTATGTTAGTGTGTTCAAACATATGTATGCATGCTACTTAGTTAACTGCCTCCTGCGAAATGGCAAGATCCAAGTAGGAAAACCCGATATTATACAGGTATGGGCATAGCAAGGACCCGAGGCCAGGCTCGCGCCGGCGCGAGGGTTCATGGAACCTAGACAATGATTGGTTCGTTGGAGATGCCATGCCATGCCATGCATGCAGGAAAGAGATGGATGAACAGTTAACTGCCGTGTGCTCGCTATAGCCAGCAGGAGAAGACAAATGATGGGGACGCATGGCATGCCCTTTCGCTCCATGAAAGTTCGCCAAAGTTAAAGGCCGCGTCCTCTCTCGCCCTAGCCCTAAGCCCTGAACCATATAAACCCTTTTTTCCAAACGCAGTCGTTGCTTTTGTCCCGCGCTGATGATGATGAAAAGCAGAGCTTGGTGCATGCAATACAAGACGGAGAAGAACAGTGATTAACCTTGCTCTGTCTGCAATGGACATGTATGCATATGCAGCAGGCACGTTGCCGCATGAATCTGCTAGGAGTAGTGGTACGTTTTTCTCCTTTGGGAAAGTCACATGAGGCAATGATGCACTTGGAGATCTGCGAGCATTACTATGCTTGTGTCCGGCATAATTATCAATGATGCTCCATGGTTATATGTACTGTAGAAGTGATTGATCAGGCCGGGATCGAACATGCTGGTCGAGCGCCCGTGAATTCCGCCTTCACTGACGAGGCTGGGTTGTCAGAGCTTCAGAGGTTTCCTGTAAGCCAGGGCGATATGGTTTGGCATCCTATAGATTCCTTGACAAAGGGAAAACGTGTACACTATAGAGTGAAGCAGTGCTGCAGTGGACGTGTCGCAGATGAGAGCACAGCCAGCCGCGTACGCATGGTCCTGCACCGCCGAGACACTGCAGAGACGCGCCGCGCGGGGCAGGCGTGCATGGCCGTGAGCTCTGCTGTCGCGCGGCGCGGCCGGCGGCCAACGCCATGCAGTGCTGAGAGGATCTACGGATCCGCTCTGAGTGAACTGACTGGCAGGAGTGGTGCACTATACGACGCCGCGCGTGCGTGCACCCGCGCATGGCCCGGCCCGGCTCGTGCGCGCGACGCGCATTTCGTGTGTAGGTCGATGCCACGCGCAGGCCGGCCGGTGGCTGTGGTCCTCGATCGTGTCCGTATGTGCGACGCTGCGCCGGGCTCGATCGTGAGAACATGCTCAACACACGCAGCATATGGCGGTGTCAAAGCATCTCCAACCGCGCCTCTAACGGTGCTCTCCAGTCGATTTTTTCACGCCAGCGCTCAAAAATCAGCCCAATCGTGTCCCAGGAGCCTTTTTTCACCGGTTTGAGCCGAAACTGACGCCGGCGGATCCAGACCGGACCCGGCGCGCTAGGGGCCGCCGGGGCAAGCAATTTTGCCGCGAATGAACCGCAGGCCCGCCGAGTCAGCGACACCCGCCTCGTCGTCCACACAACGCCTCCGTTTCCCATGAGAAATCAATGCCAAGGCTGCCCGCCAATCAGCTTTCCATTGATTCCTCACGGACGGCGCTTCCTCACGGACGGCGCGGCGACGCCCCCCATTCCCGCCACACGTACGCACGGCACCCAACCGCTATAAAAGCAACCCCCCCTCGCTTGTGGCCACACCCGCCCACAGCCGCCGTGATCTGCCTCACCGACGTGCTCTGCCCCTTACTCCCTGTGCGTCGCCGCCGCCGAAGTTCCTCCCCTCTCTCCCCAAGCCCAGCCGCGACGATGGACGAGTGATTCCCCGGTGATGGGGCGGCGGCCAACG